CTTTCTTTCTTTCTTTCTTTCTTTCTTTCTTTCTTTCTTTCTTTCTTTCTTTCTTTCTTTCTTGTGGTTGAGTCCATTAATAGCCCTACCCTCAGAGAGGTCCTGCCTGCACACAGGCCACTTTTGCAGATGAGGAGGCAAAGTGATTTCCATGTAAATGGTGTCAGAATGTCATTTTCAAGTGAAGGTTCTGAGAAAATGAATTCCTGAAGACGAGAGAGATTACCAAGGGGCAACGACACCTTGACTGCATTCTCACAGCTTCCCCGTGCTGCTGTAGTATAATGGTCTGTCCATAGAAATAGCTTTGTTTGGCTTCTACACTGTGTGGATCTTTAAGTGTCAGTCAGACCAAACAAAATAGCAGAGAAGAAAATGAGATATTAGCACATAAATTTATGCTAATGTAAGCACTGGTGTTTTTTTCGTTTGTACAGGCACAAATCATAGTTAAATTATATTTGAAATAATGTGTTTGTGAGAGCATTTGTCAATGTATCGTAAGGGTCCAAGTGTTATTATAATTATTTCTGAGAGCAAGCTTTGAAAGCGTTTTCTCCTATATAAATGAAAAATAATAAGAAAAAAGAACAATAAAGGAAAAGTGCTGAGTCTTATGTTTAACAGGTAAACAGACAATCCCAAACCAATTTATCTCTGCCCTTTGTAATGCAATACTAACTTAATACATTTCCCCCCTGATTTTTACATTTACTGGATGCAAATTCTCATGTATAATTACAATATATTATCCTAGGCCTTCTCTATGTGGTCTGCAACATGATTGAGATTCTTTCCAGTCCCACCAGTCAAAGAATTATGTTGAAATATTTGTCGTTTTCAATAGCAATTTAAATGTATGCATCTGTTTAACAAGTAGACATCATGACGGGTCTACGCCTATGTCTACATCAAGTTACAGTGACTGTTGCATGTGAAATGATACTTTTTTATGTACAAAATGAGGTATTTTCTAATTAAATGATGAACAGAATTTTGTGTCTTTCCCAGGAACTCTTGAGCACTTGAATGAGCTGGGATCAAACCACCAACCTCCATTTGGAGGATTACAAGCTTTTTACAACATAATTACATGGTATTCATTAATAATCGCTTTGGTAAGGTTTCTCATTTAAAACTACGTGGATAAAGTTTGTGGGGGAAAAACTAGAATGGACGCATCCACAGTAATAACAATCTACTACAACACAGCAATTTCTTGGAATACTGGAAATTGCTACCCCTTGGCTGAACAAATAAAACATGTTTGTTGCTTAGATGACCTGCATGCTGGTTTGTTGTTAGCGCTCTCTTACTGTAAAACAGGTCCAGGTTAAAATCTCAACTTCTTCTTGCTCACTTACAACTTGGAAAGACTTCAGCCCCAATGCTACTCTGAACAGTAGTGATGAGCAATGGGTTAGTGAATGTTTTGATGTACTCGGTGGTATACATCACTTTGAAAGTCATGTTGGATGGCCTGGAAAAACTCTACTCATCAATACAAATTATTATCATTATTTTCAAATCATACATCACAGTCAAAGCTATAATTTTACGTCATTCATTAGACTCAATTGAAATTACAGATTCCACCGCTAAATTGGTTTTAATTATTACTTACTGTACGCATCCTAATACATAATATATCTTCCCATGATTGGCTGTCATAGAGTTTCCTTTGTCTCATCTTAGTTCAGGTTCAAACCACAAGTGGCTCTTTCCTGCTAATCAGAGGAGAAACATTCTTTCTAGAGGAGACAACATTTCCTCTTGAGATGATTATCTTTCCAATGTCACACACTCACAAGTCTGCTCCTGTCAGCATGATCGATGACCACGATATCGACTTGAGGTTAATTCAAAACCCCACTGCAGAGTTAGATTAAGGATCTTGATAAAGGCGTTCACTATACGAGTGCTTTTGAAAAGAAAATTGTCTTGGATCATACACTATCCACAATTACCCACCATTTTAGGTAAGGATGCTTCAAAGGCAATCTAATAAACCTGTTATGTGTGCCTGAAACAACAGTATATTTACTATTATGGAAAAATGTGCCTTTGCATGACTAAACAGAAGACTTTTTCCCCATTGTGCTTATTGGATCAATTGAATGGTAGACAAAAGGTTTGACAAATTAACTTTGTTTTCGCCTTATTTTTTGCATTCCACTGAGCCCATCCCACCGCTGTAGACTGAACAGAATAGATAGCTGCCGAGCAACGTGGCGGATCAATTCTCTGTTTGTTACACGCATCATTACACCGAAGATGATGCACTCATCAGTCATTGTGGACACTATTTGCAATTAAGAAAAACAAAATCAATGGTGATAAAAGCCGACAATTTCAGCGTGGAGTGTTTGGCCAAAGTTCCAAGATACAGAGTGAAAGGCATAATGGAAGACTTTGGAGAAGAGCACAGCTCCCCAGACATGCAATTGAGAGGAAATCGTACAATTTTTGTGGTGTAAATGTGTGGGTCTGTGCTATTTTTATGGTGAAATTGATGTTTTCCTGCCCTCTAGCCCGTGCACACAAGGCTTACAACAGCACCACTGAATAGGAATGAGCAAGATGAAAAACATAAATGAATGAAAGCCTATTTCGTGAGAGTAAGAGAAAAGAGAGGTTTTTGCTGCAGGTAAATATTGCTCCCTGTGGGATACTTTTCTGATTGTGAGCCACAATAGGAGGATGTTTCCTCATATTGCAACAACATTTCTGCAGTGTTCAATGCCTTTCTGCAGGTAGCGCGAGCTGCATAGTCTTGATTTGAAAACACTTCAAATATGTAGTGTGCGCATCTAGAACAATAAATCATGTACTGACAAAGAGGAAAAAAATAACTACAACTTTACTGAACAGGAGAAAATGCTTGTAGTTTAATGTGTGTGTACTAAAGAATGAAATGTTAGTAGACTTGACAGGTGGATGATATACTGGCTTTTTTAAAATTAACATGTATGTGTTTTTTAAAATGTTTTAATTAAATGAGAGAATATCCCAGGTTACTGTTTATGAGCGGGGCTCAGTATGTAAGAGTAAACCATTTGAGTGTAGCTTTAGGACCCTGAGAATGTTGGACCTCAGTTACTGCAGAGGAAGGTTTGTGATTTGTATTCACCCCATCTGATAGCGCCTCCTGGATCACAGATGGATTATTTAGGCTCTTTCTCCAGCATAGGCTCTTTCTTTTGACCCCCACCCCCTTCCACTCTTCCACCCAACCCCTACCCCCAACCGCCACCCCTCTTTTTTTTAACAGGTCTACAACCTGTCTTTTTCCTCCCACTCACTTTTCTTCCCGTTGTCATTGTTGGGGTACTTGGATACTACAAGAAGACTCATTGCCAATTATTTGGCTATTTCAGGGAAAATGGAATAGTGACGCTGGAGGAAAAACCTGAAAGCGTAAGTCAAAAAGTTGGACTAATTCATATTAGAGAGGTGTGGCATGTAAAGAGCCCTTTTTTGTGTAGGTGTTAGAGAGAGCAGAAGCATTTCCCTGTTCATTGATTCTAATAGAGAGAGAGCAGGAATCCTCCTCATGCTGAGCTGCTGTGGGCTATGTTTTGAATTGTTGTTCAAGGAAGCATTTATTTTAGATTGTGCATCTAATTGTTTTTAATTGCTTTGTTGAGGAAAACTTTTGCGTCTCAGGGAGACTGGTTAAAGTGATCCTGCGTAAAACACATTCATGCAATTTTGATATAATTTACTAAACAAAAATCACAAACTAACTGTTTCACCTTAGTAACTATTGAATGCCTTCAATGAAATTGTATTGACAGAAAATTAAAGCAAAAATGAATGGGATTGAAGAGTGCAACAAGCATGAGGGAGTTGTTCACATCTATGTTGATAATAACTCAACTCAAGGTATTGTCTTAAATTATTTTTTTAACTAAATGTGTTCCAAAAACTTGTACTTTTATAACCTATTGCAGAAATTGCTATATTTTGGGGTTGCAGACTGTTAGCTTTAGTGCATTTGACTGTATATCGATGTAAAACACTTTAAGTATGAAGGTAATAAGACAAGTAAAGTTAAACTATATGTTGTTAGAAGATACGGTTTGTTAGATGGAATTACTAATCTAATGCCATTTGTTTTTTTTCTAATAATCCCACTTGTAAAAGCACTCAGCCGGGACTCAGATATGGTTTAGTTGGGGATAAACCATGATCTATTGGAGACCTTTTTGGCGTGTTGTCATCTAAAATCTAACGTTTATTGATTTAAAAATGAAGAAGCTTGTGTTCCAAACGTAGCAAACAGCAGCTTCAACTAACCTCTGCTGATGTATTAGGGTCATCCGTACTCTCGGGCCACAGGTCACTGCTCTTTGTGGCTGATCCATATGATCATCTGTTATCCCTTTGGGCAGTTTATCTGCTCCACACAGCCCAGTCCAGCTGCCTGCTCCTCATCAACCCGGAGCCTGACAGAGCCCCTGACATCGCCTCTCATATTTTTAATATCCTTTGTCTTGCACTGATAGCTCCCTTAATGCATGATAGTGGCAGTGATGAAAGCCCGAATTTGTCTCCCCATCCATTTCCCCCCAAAAGACACAGCTATATGTCAGCGATAACTGCCAGGTTGACGATAAAAACTCCTCAGATCTCCACGTTGCCTCCACCAGAAGATGGTGAGCTTTGTGTAATGTACAAACACGTGATGTACGACTTTACCAGAGTGACAGTAATGTATGCAGGTGGGTCGTGTGTTCTGTGCGCATCAAATATTTGAGTCTGTCTCTCTTGATAGTGTGAATCTCTTCAAATACATACCTCCCACTGTGGGCTTGATTTCGACTCAAAAATTGTCAGTGAATCATGCTTCCTGGCTGTGCCCCCTGCGTACACTTAGCACCATGGTGTTCTCACACTATGGTTCTGCTTATGATTCATCCCAGCTGTTCATAGAGGTGTACCGAGATTAAAAATGTTTGGTCTTAAACATCATTATAAAGAAATATAAAAACCCCAAAAACATTACTATGCAATAAAATGCCCATTAACTCCTGAAAATGATTCTACATACCAGGCACATTAATAGTAGAAACGTGGAAATTCTACAGGTGCTATAAAATATGCTTCCCTTTCCCGGTGGTTTGTTAAAATGTTGAATGATCGCGTTGTTGTATAATATCTTTGCACTTTTGATGCAGGACACTTGGTGGCAAATCATATTATTACCCACTTTAGTCTAGGATTACACTTAAGGGAGGTGAAAAAATGAGTGTTTTAAGTATGGGGGAGGCTCCCGAAACCTCATTCCATTCATGGTCCAGCACTCTTTACAATATGTGATCTGTCTGCAGTCATATTGACAGCGTGTTAGGTTCTGGGCTGTGAACACTCTCTAGCAGACAGAGGAGGAAATGGGACATCAGCAGTGCGATCTCGTCTGGCTGCAGACTCTTTCTGTTCGCTGAAAGGCTGTGTAGATGCATTTAGCAGATATTTTACTGCTGTGTTGTTAAGTTAAGTCAACTCGGCCCGTACTGGCTGCAGGCAGATGCATGGTGCTGTGACAGGACCAGGACAAGTGTAAATTATTTCCATTATGTCAGTAACAAAGTAAAAAAAATGGCTTTACTTCTCAAATTATTTTGAGAACATCTCATCTGTACATAACTCATTTTATCTGGTTTTCACCTGAACTGTGTCTGCCACAGTCTGTCCATTTCATATTGTCTGTGGATTTTCTGACATTATATATTTTTTTTTACAGCAAACATGCCCCTTTGACCATTTTCAGAGTGCCAAATGTCTTTTTTTTTCTTACACAGGGATGGCTTTGAATTTAAATAGTTCTTCTTCCTTCCACTAAGCGCTCATATTTTTGTCTTTGCTTTCAAAAAGACAAAACTTGAGGGTGGAATGTCACCACTTCTCAAACATTTAATATCGAATGCTTTGCAGAATGCAATCATCTTTGCTTAGTATGTCAGTAATGTGTTTATGGGAGATTGCAATCTTTTATTCAGAGCGAACATTATATTACCGTGGAATATATTGTTTCCAGCACATGACTTTTGAAACATCACCATATTTACAAGATTTGCAGAACAGTTATTTTGATTATGACAGGATGGTTTCTCATACAAATGTGCCAAGCCAGGAATGACTTAACTGACTGTTCAGGAGATTAAGAAGAGAGAGGAGCAGAGCACTGAAATGAGCAGAACTTGTAGATTTATTAAAAAAGTTATTCAACAACTCCAAAGGTCTCTTAAACAAAAGATATGACTGAATAGTTTATATTTATTTTTCAATTAAAATGTTAATTTAGACACAAAGAAATAGTATTACTACTGTTTACCCTTCTACAAAAAAAAACAACTCTCATATTGTTGATCATAGGTTGTCCAGCATCTTCCCTTTTTCCTCAAGTTGTGACATTTTAACAAAGTTGGCCATGGCTTTTGTATTTCAACTAACAATTAAAGTGTTGCATGGAGCCGGTGGCCACAGGGTGCCAAGATGTCCCATAAAGCTGGCTATCTGTCAGACAGCTTGGACGAGCTGCAAAGCTGTTTGTACCACAGATGGCTGATCAGTAGAACTCCCTCTCCTTTTTTTCTTTCCTGGCACTGTCATCGTGTCTCATCACTATAACCACTTGAGAGCAAGGGTGTTTCATGTTGTGTTTTGTGTGCGTGTGCAAGTTTTTCTGCCCTGTTTGTTCAGGGGGGTTAGGATGGGAGCATGTTTGTGTTGTGTATGAATTTTTTTGCTAGTGCATTGTATTCTAATGGAGCACTCGAAGCCAAAGTACAGTCCTGGTAGCATCTACAAAGCACACAAAGAGATTACATTTAAAATGCAGATGCTCACGTAGTTCACAAAACTTTCGGTAAATGGCGGGAACAGCATTACAAGTAGAACTGGAGTTTACTTGCGTGTTGAGAGTGTTTCAGAGGAGGGTCCATCTGTCTGCCTCTCTGTCTTTTGTGGTGGAATTTCATGCTTTCTCACACACAATCCTGTCTGTACATATTAGCAATATTAACTTTTGGTTGAATATCCCTAAAGCGTTAAATAAGAAAAACAGAAAACGGAAATTATCAGTAATGATGTTAATACACAGTTTTGTTGCAAAAGTGACACAGGGAGTAGTACCAACATCACTGACTGTTTCAATTGTCTTTTCTAGATTTATGTGGACTTCCCTGAATGCATTTGTGGTCCTGTAAGACTATGCAGGCACTCTTTGTCATCAGCCTGCTCTACGTCAGCCAGCTGGTGTGGGCCAATGGCATGTTCATTTCATCAGGTAAGTCTTATTTCAATGTGAGAGAGGTGAATGGCAAAGAAAAATAAAGAAATCATCATGATGTTATACTTCCACATCTTTGATAAAAGTTACGCTATCTTCTTGTGGCTATGACATGACACAAAACTATTACATTCTAAATGTTCAGATATGCCTCTGAATGTTGAACCCAATGCAATCCATTCTTTTTCAGAAGAATGTCTTGGTTAAAGTTAGTTAGAATTCAATGTATTTGAGCACACACACGATTTCAAAATCTGATTAGATGACTCATATCTCTGTGTGCAACATTTTTTTAACATAGATTATTTCCTTAGAAAATGCAAATTGAACTTAAATATGACATATTTCAACGGTATTAAATCTATTTAGAAATATCTACTTATAACAGATTTATCCCCCCTTACACACTTACATTTCCTGCTTTTATAAATTGCCTTTCATAAGTCGTTTTCTGCTGCATGATCATGATAAATGAATGCCTTTATTGCCAATTTTTCTTCTATTCTCACAGACATTGTGAAGAAATAGCATCCTCTTGTGGTTGTACTTTAAACAACACCTTTGTGGTCATGCCCCATGATAGCCACTGGATGCATTTGGTGAAAATCCATCTTTGGCCCCAGATGCAAAACTCTTATGAACAGTGAAATTATAAAAGAGCGGGATGTACAATGGAATCCAAGATTCACTAGGATCAAGTTACAAGGAGAAGATATAAGGAAAAAACACAAAAAACAATCCATTATGTGTCCTACAGGCCCAATTTACCCACTGCAGAGCAGCTTCCCCCTTTAGAAGACCAGTTTGCCCCGCCTTCATAATATTTGAGGACTGATCACCGAGAGCACATGGAAATGTAAAATTTCAGAATGTATTTTAACCTAATATTCTTGCTCCTGCACAAACAGATGCAGAGAAAATCAGAGATGAGGTTATCACCCAACCACCTGGATCAGGAACAGTGTCTGATCAAGACAACGGCCTCGGATACAAAGGTACCGTAAAGGTCAACACTGAAGGTTCATTTAGAATGTAATGCTCCCAACAATGTACAAAATAATAAAGTTGGTCCAGTGGTAGATGTCTTCTGATTATGGTGCAGTGTTTTACACTTTTGCTATGAGAAAGACTACTCTTGCATGCAATTTTCTGTAAATTTCAGGCTGTTTTAAAGTTTTAAAGTTTATAATACGTATCATATTAAGGACCCCACATGTGGCATGGTGATGCTCACTTGTGTATGACATGTTCTTTTTACAAGTTTGGAGGAAAAAAGGAACTCACACTCCCCTTCAATTGATTTGATTGAATATATTTGGCTCTGTTTTCGTAAAGTATGTATTCATTTAAAAAAAAGTCATACTTATATTCATTAGAGTCAAGTAAAGGGTGGTCTGATCTAAGTCATGAATTTTCCTTTTGCATTGACGTGGGATGGAAAGGGCTTTGACATCAGATGAACCAACAAAAGAACAAATATATAAGAGCTCTCTTATTCGTTTAAACTTTTGATTCTTCAGGCAAATCATACCTATCATATTGAGCATCTTTATTCCATAGTAAATTTCCACCCCGAATAGAGAAATTATCAAGTGAGTAATTTCATTTTTTTATTCTGGAACCTAATGTGGACCTTCTGCTGGTTTCCATTTCCTTTGAAGACCAGAACCTCCACCTCGAATACACAATCTGTCCTGCCCAGCAGGGAGGGAAAGAGAGACTGTGCAATCTGAAAACATGTCCAAGTCCTAATGACCAATATGAAGCATTTATGTTGACCATGTAGGAAGATGACTGAAAAACAGAATATGTGGTTTTTGCACTGGTTTCTCTGTCTGTGCAGGAGGTACTGGCAAATGAACAAAGATAAGCATGAAAAAATGGAAAAAGGCTAACCGTTTTCAGATTCAGAAGTGAGACTTAAAAGTGAATTCAATTTAATTGAATTGAAAAGCTTATTGTAGGGGTGTGTTTCATACTCAGCTATCCACATGGGTACAAATGCCCCAGACTCCAGAATTTTGTCAGGTATGAGGGGATCATTTTAATAACAGAAGTTAAACCCCATTGATTTTTTTCATGATTAAAACTGCCAACAGTGACTAAATAAAAAGCGACCGAGGCCAAGATTGTTGCTTGGATGGGATTCCAGATTATTTCATTAATATTTTTCATAAATACATATATTCTTTCTAGATTTGGCTTTGTTCTTTTTGGAGATATTTGCCTCCTGGCCTTGAACCAATTGGATAGCTTCTCTGGGAAAAATATAAATATTTATAGCTCCATGTTCTTGGCACCGTCTCCTTTTAAATCCGTGCCATTTTATTTGCAGTGTTGCCTTGAAGATGTGAATGTCTTTGTGTCTATTTTTCACCATCTGTTTCTGGAAATATTGAAGTTTTAGATTCATATCTGAATCTTAATAAAAAAATATATACATGAGGCCACGTTTAGAGAACTGATAGTTCCTTACCTTACTGTGACGGAAGACCAAAACCAGTTGTACCATCATTGAAAAAACAAAACCTCAGTGTCCTATAAAGCACAATTAATCAACCAAATTGTTCTAATATTTTGATTCTATTATATCATGCATGGGGTTAGGAAAATGAAATGCTGAAATAATGACAGAAGGCAGAACATGATGGAAGAGGAATTTGAAGAACAAAAAAGGAGAACATGGGAATGCTATAATGCCGCACATTTGCTCCGGCTTGACAAACTGACTTCATTCTACCAGGTATGATCCACAATGAGAAAGATACTGCAACTGGAGGGAGAGGATACTGAGGCAGTCTGGAGTTCTGGACACCTTCTTGTTGATTGGGTGATGAAATTTTGGTATTTAATTCTGAATATGATTTTTAATACAGTCTTTGAGACATGAGTAAAAATCCTTTACCACCCAGCAGCCAGCAGAGGGAGCTCTGAACTACTCAGACAACAAAGACATTTTTGAGGTTCTGACAAATACAGTGTAAGGAGAGCGACTGAGTTTAAAGAAAGACTCGTTTTAACTTCTCGCTGACTTGCTTAGGAAATGGTATACAGAATGATATCAGAAAACATCCCTATCTTGGTACATCGGGATGGATGCAGACATGATGTCCTAGAAAATTAGGAGCTCCACTTTTTTTATTTTTTTTTGTTGTGAGACCTGTGCTTCACACTTTTGGCTCTAATAAAGACGCAGCGCACGTCCCTCATGGTAGCACCAGCAAAAGATGATAAATCATTCATCAAGGTCACATTATGCTCACTTTCAACAGTAGGCACACCTCGAAATATTAAGTAAGTTGTAGTTGGAGGATATGCATTTCATAAAAAAGGCTCTTTTTGAGAAATCCCATTCGATAGCAGAATGATGGACACTGAAAACGAATGATTTAATTGGCTTTTTGTTCATATTCCACGACATGTTAGTGTAATTCATTACAATATTGGAGGTACAACTTGATGTTAGTTGTTATGAATACCTCATGTTTTGAGCTAATTTATTTTTTGCCCCACGTTTGCTGGGCTTAGGATTTGAATAATTTAAAAAAGGATGAACCCTTAGAAAAAAGCCTATGGAGCCTATCCCTGTCAATGTATCCTTGTGCGGTTAAATGGTGCCTGACCCGCAGGAATCTCTCCAGCACAACAGAAAAAAGCCTCTGACTGGGGAAAGGAAAAACCAAAAA